TTTGTTCTGGTTGGCAGCCGATTAACTGCGCTGACAAATCAGGCGCAAAAAAGCCAAGGGCTCTCAAGGTAACACTAATCCCTCTGGGCGGGGAGAGTCGCATATTACGCAGGATTTTTACAGAATGCTCTTTTTTTCCTTTCATTTGGTGCTTTTGCTGCGTTCAGACGGTTGGTTGCCCCCCCCTCCCCTTCTTTATTCTCTTTATTTGTTAAAGGTGCAAAAGTGTGTGGCACTGCTGGGCCTACACAGTATCTATTATATCTATAAGTGTCTTTATTTAAATAAGAAAATAGAAATGAGAGTGGTTCAGGTGGATCCGGGCCTAAATACGCACAGACACCTTCCAGCGTTTAAAAGCTGCTGATGGACCAATCACAGTCCATATTAAAACAAACAAATAACAGCAGAATAAATGCAATGAAGCCATCGCCACAGTGATAAAGGCGGTGTGATGTTACATAAACTGCTGCTGCTGTTTGTGGGTGTGTATCCACGCCTTTGGTCGCTGGCGTGCACGTGTAATATTTTTTTCATTTGTGCACGTGTGTACAGACATCCGCGCGCCATGTACGGTTCATTTCATGCCTGTAATGTGTGTATGATGAAGGCGTTGCTGTGTGCGCGCGTGCGTGCGTGCAGGCGTTTGTGGGGTGCTGGGTGCTCTCTAACTGGGTGATGTAATGCCGTGAAGGGTGCTGCAGCAGAACCACAGAGCCCAGAGAAGGCGTGTCCTGCCTGCAGAGTAGCTGGATAACAACACGGTGCCCACGCTGCACCCGCCGCCAAAATAACACACACACACACACAGACACACACACACACAGTCCCTCCCTACCTCATCTTCCCTTTTTCCTCCTTTTTTTTGAAATTACATTTTTTTTTAACTTACCTGCATTTTATTAGTCTGTTTTTTTCTGTCTGTTTCATCCGAGAAATGTGAGCAGCTGTGGTAAATAGAATGAGGCCTGATTTACAAAAATAATTCTGCAAAGGATAATTCGCCCGTTTAAATTTTATTGAAGGATTTCTTCAAATCAGCAGCTCGATTTAAATTGACAACTGTGCAGTGTCTATGTCCCTCTGCTCATCACGTCACCCTGTCTTTTAAAATCTTTGAGTGAGGATGGTGAGAAGGGAGAGACAGTGCCTCGTCCCCTCTGTGCAGTGTTAAAAACCAAAAGCATTAATGTGAATATATTGCTTTCCATTAAAAAGATAGAACAGAACTACTGATATTAAATAGGTTCTGCGTAATCCAGTCTACCTTTAGATCATTGCTCTCTTCTGCAACAGTGCAGATGATTTCATTTGCTAGTGGGGGAAATTAAACCCTGACCCCAAGTGGTAATATGAAGTTCTTTTTAGTGTTGGGTCGTATGATGATGTGTAATAACACCATATCAGTTTGTAAATATGAACTATATTGTGGTATCTCTTAATTATCTGTTGAAGTTAAGGCTGCAGCTAACGATTATTGTCATTATGGATTAAAAGGGGCGGATCTAGAGGAATGGCATAGGGTGGTACCACTAAAAACTCCTGATTTAACAAATTGATTTAGATTAATTTTAAAAAGAACATGTTAACAAATTAATTTTATGATCTATTATGGCTACATTTTAGACTAAGTTCACTAAAAAAAATACGTATTTGGAAAAATGTCTAAAGATTTGAAAATAACACAATTTATTGGTTTCCAGTGCCACCTTTTAGATATTTCTATTCAGTGCATTACTAATGTTCCACAATGTGTTTTTTGATTAAATCAACAAATATTTCTGAAGGTCCTCATGCCACCCTCTGGACACCCCATGAATATTTCTGTAGATCTGCCCCTGTTGATTAATCTGTCCATCATTTTCTTAATCCATTAGTTGTTTGGGCTGTAAAATGTCAAATTGTAAAAAAAAATGTTGATCAGTGTTTCCCAAAGGTGACGTCCTCAAATGGCTTGTTTTGTCCAAAACTGAAAGAGATTCAGTTTACTGTTATAGAGGACTAAAGAGAGCAGAACATATTCCCATCAGAGAAAATGAAATCAGAGAATTATTTTAGAAAATGACTCAAAATGATTAATCGATTCAAAGTAGTTCTAGCGATTAATTTAATAGCTGACAACAGATGAGTTAATTTTTATGATCTTTGCATCATGATATGTCACTGGTCAAAAACAGACATTCCTGTCAGTTATTTATCTGTGAGCAGAGTAGCTCAATAGCTTTTCCAGCGATGACAGTACCCATACAGCATATTGATAGTAATTGTACATACAGTATACAGGTTCTTTAGATGAAATAAGCCCGGAGAGATAGATATCAGCCCAAGATGGTGGCTAACTCCTCTTCCTAGAAAGGTCTGTGGCTGATTTGAAGTGTGCGTTTGCAGCGTGATGAAGAGGGAAGAGGAAGAGTAGTGTCAGGGTGTTTCATGAGATGCATGAGTGGGAGTGGATGAGGTGGAACATCGCTGCCTCTGTCTCTCAGGCCGCCGCCCCCCCCTCTCGTGTTTTTCCACTTTCATCCTTCCCTCTGCCAATCTCTCCTCCTTCTCCCCTCCCCTGGTCAGGTTGTCATGTCCTGGTGGTCAATATGATTTCGGGAGTGCTACCACGTGCAGCAGCTGGAAGGACGGGCAAAAAGAAAATGCGCACCTTCTTTTTGAATGCACTTGATTGCGAGCGTGCGAGTGCTGCATACTTTGGAAGGCCTCAGCCGCAGAGCAATAGAGCAATCAAAAAAAAAAAAAAAAAGCAGCCTGTCTTTTGAATTAGTTATCTGGCGAGCTGTGAGGAGCATTTTTGTCACTGTGTCTGGGAACGGGACAGTTTGACTGTGCGTGTGTTTTGTGCGAGGACTGGTGTGATCAGGGCAGCCTGCTGTAAAATACCCAAGTGGCATCCATTTAAACAGCAAAAGGGCGCTACCGGTGGCTGATTTTATTTGGCATTACACACACACACACCGCACACACACACACACACACGCCTCCATCCCGGTCCATGTTGGTTGTCAATAGATCTGATCCCCGCTTTTGTCATGTGTGTATGTGGACTCGTCCCTGTTTCGTCAAAGAAGCCCTCTTCGCACAGAGAAACAATATCCATGCCGGTTTAGCCTGTTCTAGACCCGTGATGGCTCCCTGCACTGCAACAAAAGACAAACGAACTCTCTGCTGCGTCTCACACACACAACGACACACACAGTCGACACACCACACACTGAAACATACTGAATGCAGGGAATGTGGATTGCCGAGAGACAAGTCTGCAGTTGTGTACAAACAGGAGTGTAAAGGTTATTCTGGGATGGTCTTTGTGTGTGAAGCGGTGCGTGGGAGCGAAGAGTGTGTGTGGTGTGTTGTGTGCCAGAAGCTACTATGATCCATCTTTGATTAGCTGACAATAATTAAAGCAGTGAAATATAATAACTGGGGAAAAGGACTGATTCTAGAAGAAGACACACCAGTCCCAAAAACTGCGCAAAAAAGGACACACCCTCCCGCGGAACTTTTGTCATTTGTATATTGTTCAGAGGATAGATGAGATGGAATGGAAAGTAATGAATAAATGCTAACGTAATTGAAGTCGTGGTGAGGAAGTTACTGAACTGTTTCCAGTGGAGTGAAACATGCTCGTGTTGGAAAATCAACAAGAAGGACAAGGATGTTTGTACAATGATGTTGACAGAGAGGCTGTATAGATAGTTGGTAGATATATTAATTGAAGATGTTGATACGAGTTCAGAACATTGCGTCCAAAAAGCGAAGTTGAATGGTGGTGGGCCAAGTTAATTCCTAGTTCGTAACACGGCCCGCCGGCTAACTAAATGAAGTACAATGCACACCTGCTGATGGCTGGGTTGAGGAGAAGGGGTGTGCGTGGTGATGTCAACAAGGGCCTGCGGACGCCCGCGGATCTCCTCGTTTCCTCCTCCTCCCGCTTGTTGTGTTACCCCGTCGCCGCGCCGTGGGGCGGCCTCCGTGGTGGCGTGGGGCGAGAGGAGATTCCATTTACATCCGCAGCAAAGTTCTTCACTGAAGCCAATTCTTTTTGATTCATTATTTGGAGGATTTTGTCATTTGGTTCCAGACCTGTGAATTACTGGCCACATTTCCAATGTGTTCAGCAGTTCGAATCAAGCTCCCCAGCCAATTTTCTTATCCTAGAATGGTGAAGGAATGACCCCACAATGCCTCCAACTGGCTAGTATTGTCTGTTAGTTGGGTTGGTTAGGTTTAGGCATAAGGACTGGGATTGGTTAGGGTTAAGATAATAATTTTAGGTTAAGCCAAGTCCCACCCCTTTTTGCTCTGTGCTCCAATAACAGTTGAGCAAGCCTCAATGAGAACCTCTGTCAACTTCCTCCTTTCC